TTATGTCCTAAGTATACTTAGTATACTTATATCGATTTGTTACAATGCTAATTTTCCAATTAACACTTAACCTTATTAGGGATTAAAATGAGCTATCGAAATTTCGAAGAATTTATATTAAGGCAATAAAATTACTCTAACTCAAGAAATATTAATTTAACATAGCGAAACCAAGTATGTTAATATTTTGGCACAATTACATTATTTATCACATAAAACTATTTCTACGCACTTATTTAAAAACAAGTAGATATAATGCTAGAATTTATTAAAGAATTAAAAGTGCAATTGCAATATGCATTGATATCTATATATATATATATATATATATATATATTTTCGAGGTTCTCACATCATCCCCTCCTTAAAATGAATTTTGTCCTCAAAATTCTTACCTTCTAAAGAAATAGGTCGGGGTACTTTTTCTGCATTTCCTCTTCTAATTCCCAAGTTGCCTCCTCTAAGCCATGATTTCTCCATAGAATCTTCACCAAAAGAATTTTCTTATTTCTCAATTCTTTCACTGCTCTTTCCAAAATCCTAACTGGTCCTTCCTCATAAGTTAACGACTCATCCACCTCAATTTCTTCTAATTGCAACACATGGCTTGGGTTGGGGTGATATTTCCTAAGCATGGAGACATGAAATATATCGTGAACCTTGGCCATGCTTGCAAGCAACTTCAACTGATACGCTACTTTCCCAATCCGTTTCAAAATTTCGAAGGGTCCGATATACCTCGGCTTCAGTTTCTTACCCTTCTTGGATACTACTCTTCTCTTCAAGGGTTTAACTCTTAGGAAAACTTTGTCTCCTACTTCGAACTCCAAATCTTTTCTCCTTGTGTCAGTGTAGCTCTTTTGTCGACTCTGGGCAACTTGAAGTCTTTCTCTAATTAGCTTCACTTTTTCTTGAGGTTCTTCCATCCAAGGTATAGCTGTTGGATCTACAATTTTCTTCTCTCCTACTTCATCCCAATGAATCGGAGATCGACACCTTCTCCCATACAATGCTTCATAAGGTGCTATTTGAATCGAGGCGTGATAGCTGTTATTAAACGCAAATTCTACTAAGGTTATATACTGGCTCCATTTACCTCCAAAATCCAATATACACGACCTCAACAGATCCTCCAAAGTTTGAATTGTCCTTTCTAACTGCCCGTCGGTTTGGGGATGATACGCAGTACTAAATTTCAACTTGGTCCCCAATGACTCTTGAAACTTCTGCCAGAAACATGAGACAAATCTGGAATCTCGATCAGATACAATGCTTATAGGAATACCATGCAATCTCATGATCTCTTCTATGTACAACTTGGCCAATTTCTCCAAAGAAAAGCTCATGCTCACAGGTAGAAAATGTACGGACTTAGTAAGCCGGTCAACTATCACCCAAATTGCTTCAAATCCTTTTTGACTTCGAGGCAACCCCGTTACAAAATCCATCGTTATGTGTTCCCATTTCCATTCGAGAATTTCTAGAGGTTGCAGCAGACCAGAGGGTTTCTGATGCTCAGCTTTTACTTGTTGGCAGATCAAACATTTCTGTACAAATTCTGCCACGTCCTTTTTCAAACCGTCCCACCAGTATAACCCCTTCACATCATGATACATCTTATTCACTCCTGGATGTATAGTATACCTTGATCGATGTGATTCTTCTAAAATTTCTTTCCTTAATCTTTCATTAGCCGGAACTGCAATTCGATCTCGAAATCTCAACACTCCTTCAGACCCTAATTTAAAATCTAGGGTTTCCCCTCTTTGCACTTTCTCTACATTCTTCTGGATTGTAGGGTCCGTTTTCTGGGCTTCCGTAATACGCTCTAATAATGGTGACTTTAATGTCAAGTTCCCAAATAAAATCTTCAATTTCTCCAAGCGAGGGTTCCAACTACTAACCTCTTCTAACATGTCCCATTCTTTAACCATTAACCCTGCTACTTGGGCCTTTCTACTTAGAGCGTCTGCTACCACGTTGGCTTTTCCTGAGTGGTAGTTAATCGAACAATCATAATCCTCTAAAAATTCTACCCATCGCCTCTGTCTCAAATTCAATTCCTTTTGGGAGAACAAGTACTTGAGACTCTTGTGGTCCGTATAAACTTCAAAAGTCACACCGTAAAAGTAATGTCTCCATTTCTTTAAGGCAAAGATCACTGCAGCCAATTCTAGGTCATGCGTTGGGTAATTTTGTTCATGAGGCTTCAATCTTCTAGAAGCATAGGCAACCACCTTACGTTTTTGTGACGCCCCGAAAAGTATGAGTATGAGAATCCGAAATTTTTTTTAATATATTTTCTAGACGTTATTTTGTTTCCTTGTCTATAATTTTGTACCTTTCTTCAATATATTCATTTCTTATACATTTTTATAAGGAAATATAGTTTTCAAATCATTTCCTTGATACAAGTTAGTCCACGTTAAATTTGATGTGTATTATGGACGTGGGACCCGCTAGTGCGGGTAATGTGGTATATTTTTGACAACTCATTGGAGTTAATTGTAAAGATTAAAAGAAGTTTGGGCCATAGTGTGACTTTGGTTGATTACAAGTTGCTAGACTTCCTAAAGGTTCCATGATATTCCTAAGCTTAATTTTCATTGGCTAATCAAAAAGGTAGTGGACTTTGACCAATGGACTTAGTTAATATCTTCTTAGCAAGACCAACGGCCAAAACAACAAGGAGAATTTCAGCCGGCTCTAGGGAGAAAAGAGGGGAGAAAAACCAAGAGAAAATAAGAGAAAGAACAAGAAAAAATTCTGGTTTTGTGCAACCCATCCAACAAGCTTGGGAGTTAGAGCAAAAGAAAGCTAATGAACTTGGTTCTTGAAGTGCAGCCTTGTAAACCCACCTTTGGAAAGTAAAGCAGCCTTGAACTCTTGTAAAAGCTTATAGCAATTGGGTAGAAATGTTGTTTTTTATGTTGTAAGATGCTAATAAGGGTTAATGATGGTTTATATATCACTTTTGTGGGTTTGTGTGGAAGATTTGGTGATTTCTATGGTTGTTGAGAAAATTCCAGAATTGAGATTTCTTATGGTTCAGTTCTGTTCGTTTCTGTTTGACCAGGTTAGAGGCCGAATTGGCCTTAGCACAAAACATGAAAGTTGTAGATAATGATGTTTTATAGTTACCTGTAAATTTTGAGCTCAATCTGAGCTCGGTAGCCTGTGAAAAGACCGAAATACCCCTGCTACCCTGTTTCTGTCCGAAACTGATAATCAGCTTTGGTAATTGGTTAGTTTGACTGGGAATACTACTGATTTAGTTGTTGATGTCTTCTTAAGAATTCTAGTCCTGTATCTTAGCTTTCAAATGGCTTTGGAATTACCTGAATTGAAGTTGTGTGTGCTGAGATATGAGTGAATAAAGCAAGACTGCTAGTTGATTTCCGCAGTGAATTTCGAACTGGAAAATCTGGAGTTGTTTTGGAACATTAGACCTAGTTAGGGTGAGAACTGGACTAAGTGGTCTTCATGAAAGTTATAGGGAATGATATTTTAGAGGTTCTTGCAAAATTTCAGGTCAATCGAAGTAGCGTAGCTTGAGAAAAGACGGAATTACTATTGCTGTTCTGGTTTTACCCGAATGTAAGAATTGCGCCTGTAATTGGTTGTTTTGGTCAGGATTATAACCTATGGAACATCGGATATTAGAAGTGAATAATAGAAACATTTTCACTATTTTCTTGTCTCTACTCTATTCTCTTTATGTTTAACTTTTCGTAGTATATATTTTATTAGTTTCACAACAAAGACGATGAATTTCATTGCAAGAATTATTTTGTTAAATTGTCTTTCTAATGGATTTTGTGACTTTTATGAGAATTCATATTTTATTGCTAAGAAGGTTTGGAGATCTTTGTAGAAAAAGTATGACACAGAAAAGGCAGGTGCAAAGAAATATGTTGCAAGTCGCTTTTCAAATGGTGGATTGAAAATTAGTGGCAGCTGAAACTCATGAACGTCAAATGATTGTACTATGATTCATACATTAAATCATTGGGGATAATTCATGAAAATACACCTCCTTACTCACCATCTTCCAATGGGATAGCAGAAGGGAAAATTAGAACCTTAATTGATTTGGCTAATACTATGCGTGTAAGTTCTAACACACCTTCTAACCCTTAAGTGAAGGAATCTTGACTGCTTGTTATTATGTTTTAAATAGAATACATCATAAAAATACTACAACATTTACGAAAATAATTTTCTTACTTTGTAAACCTTTTGGAAAATAAAGTTACAATCTCAGGACCGCAAAACAATGACAAGTGTAGCCAGGAGATAATGCATGTGCAGTTCCCTTGTCACTCTATTTCTTTACTTTTGATTGGCTCTTGTAAATTTATCTTTTGTTGAACTAAAATATTGTATGGATTGGAAAAAAATTTCTCACATCAAATGTGGCATTAAACTTCCTTATGTTATTAGTCATTGAAGTTTTATTGTAAAAATGGAATTTATTCATGGAATTTAACTATGCAATTCATTTGGATTAGGTAATAAAATTTTTAAGCGTGACTTTGTAAGTTGAACAAGTCAATGCAAGAAACTGAATTACATAAAATAATTGTTTGAGAATGATTCTTAAGAATCAGGTCAAATAATCTTATGCTGCTGCCACAAGCAATTTTATTTTAGTTAGAGATGCGTATAGGTTTGATCTACTGAAGGATGGAAATTTGAGTTCGGGGAGAGTTGGTAGATCCCATTAGTTATTTGCTTCTAATCTTGACTTTGTAACGCGCAGTTATAAAACTCGTACCATTAGCATTGATCAAGATATTACAAAGTTTTCAAAACTACTTTGAACAATTAATAGCAAATTATTTTAAAATTTGTATATGGTGTTTGTAATTTATATTATTAACAGATCAAGAAATTATAATCTACATAATAGAAAATGTTCAGGGTAGGAAAGGTGATTGACAGGTAACCTTCACTTCTCCATCCACTACTACATCCAACTTACCTCCTTTTCCTTCCAGGTTGGAAAAGACAAGGAAAGTAGAGAAGGAAAAAGAGCTCTTGGATGTGTTTTGGAAAGTGGAGATCAACATTCCCCTGTTGGATGCAATCAAGCAAATACCGAAGTATGCTAAATTTTTGAAGGACTTGTGCACCCACAAGAGGAAGCTAAGGGGAGATGAACGAGTGGCGGTGGGAGAAAACGTGTCAACCATGCTCCAAAGGAAACTCCCACCAAAATGTGGAGACCCAGGTATGTTCACCATTCCCTGCAAGATAGAAGGTGCTTCGATTAGGAAGGCAATGTTGGATTTAGGGGCGTCAATCAATGTAATGCCTAAAACAATTTATACGTCCCTTAATCTTGGTCCATTAAAAGGCACAGACATTATAATCCAACTTGCAGATCGTACCAATGCTTACCCAGAAGGGTTAGTTGAAGATGTTTTGGTGCAGGTCAATGAGTTAGTTTTTCCTGCAGATTTCTATGTCCTAGACATGGGGGATGAAAGAGCACTAAATCCGTCTCCTATTTTGTTAGGTAGGCCATTTGTAAGCACTGTTAGGACGAAAATAGATGTAAATGAGGGTACTTTGTCGATGGAGTTTGATGGGAAAATTGTGAATTTTAATATTTTTGATGCGATAAAGTACCCAGATAAGACTAACTCTGTTTATGCTGTAAGTGTTGTTGAGCCCCTTGTACAGGAAATATTTGAATTGGATGGGGTTGATGCACTGGCAGTGGCATTAGCCAAACATCTTGAGTTGGGAGCAACTCCTGATGTAGAATTGAGTGATGAGTTATACCGGGCTGTTGGAGCACTGCATTCGCTCCCACCAATTTCCCCAAGGTATGAGCTTACTTCTCTTTTCATACCAGAAACTCAAGCAAAATTGTTGCCTTCTATTGTGCAGGCGCCTGAGTTGGAGCTCAAGCCTCTCCCAAAGCATTTGAAGTATGCTTTTCTCGGAACAATGAGACACTGCCAGTCATCATATCTGCACACCTGTCACAAAGGCAAGAAGATAGCCTAGTTCGTCTTCTTCGGGATTATAAGGAGGCAATTGGGTGGAGCGTAGCAGATATCAAGGGAATTAGCCCCTCTTTGTGCATGCATCGGATCCGGCTCGAGGAGGATGCAAAACCAGTGAGGCAGGCGCAACGGAGATTGAACCCACTGATGATGGAAGTGGTGAAGAAGGAGATACTTAAACTCCTAGAAATGGGGATCATCTTCGCCATCTCAGATAGTCCCTGGGTGAGCCCAGTGCAAGTAGTCCCGAAAAAGGCGGGAGTAACAGTTGAAGAGAACCAAAAGAGTGAGATGGTCCCGGTGAGGAAATCCACAGGATGGCGCCAGTGCATTGACTATCGGCGTTTGAATGCTGTGACAAAGAAGGACCACTTCCCTCTACCTTTTATTGATCAGATGATAGAAAGGTTAGCTGGCCGTGTCTATTATTGTTTTCTTGATGGTTTCTCTGGTGATTTTCAGATCGCAATAGCACCAGAGAATCAGGAAAAAACTACCTTCACCTGCCCATTTGGTACATTTGCCTACCGGAGGATGCCTTTCGGCCTCTGCAACGCCCCAGCAACTTTTCAGAGGTGTATGGTAAGTATATTCTCCGAGTACGTAGAAAAGATTATTGAGGTATTTATGGATGATTTTAGTGTTTATGGAGATAGTTTTGATGAATGTCTGGATAATTTAGTTTTAATTTTGAAGAGGTGCATTGAGGCAAATTTAGTTTTAAATTGGGAAAAGTGTCATTTCATGGTGGATCAGGGCATTGTTTTAGGGCATGTAGTGTCGGCCAGAGGTATAGAGGTAGACAAGGCAAAAGTCGATATTATCTCTGCTTTACTTTACCCCGCAAGTGTGCGGGAGGTGCGTTCCTTTTTGGATCATGCAGGATTCTACAGGAGATTCATAAAAGATTTTTCAAAAATTGGAGCGCCCCTGTTCAAACTGTTGCAGAAAGATGTGGCATTTGACATCACCGAGGAGTGCAAGGTGGCATTTGACAGATTGAGGGAGTCATTGACATCACCACCTGTTATCCAACCTCCAGACTGGAGCATCCCGTTTGAGATAATGTGTGATGCGAGTGACTATGCAGTGGGGGCGGTGCTGGGGCAACGGATTGGCAGAGCTGCTCATGCAATCTACTATACATCCAAAGCGCTGAATGGAGCTCAGCTCAACTACTCTACAACGGAGAAAGAATTGCTAGCTGTGGTTTTTGCACTAGAAAAATTTAGACCTTACTTGTTAGGTGCAAAAGTAATAGTTTTTTCTGATCATGCAGCCTTGAGATATTTGATGACAAAAAAGGATGCTAAACCAAGGCTCATCAGATGGATCCTGCTTCTTCAAGAGTTCAACTTGGAGATTAAGGATAAAAGTGGAGCGGAAAACTTAGTTGCTGATCACTTGAGCCGCTTGCTTGCTCACAAGGAGGAGCCACCATTGAGGGAGGCATTTCCAGAGGAGCAACTACTTGCTATTAACTCGTCTGTACCCTGGTATGCCGATTTAGTAAATTTCTTAGTGACTAATCAACTGCCTACAGGATGGCCAAAGGTTAAGAGAGACAAGTTGAAAAGTGATGCTAAATATTACATTTGGGACAAACCGTACCTTTGGAGACAATGTTCGGATCAAGTGCTCAGGAGGTGTGTAAGTGCAGGTGAATTGACAGGTGCCAAAAATTGACAGGTGCCGAACCTGTGCAATAATAATAAATAAAACCTAACTACCACCTGAAACAGTCAGTAATCAATTCGAGTACTGGAGCAGGGACTCTAGGTGTGCAATGGGTTACTTGATTCACCCTGTTCCCGAAGAGTTTGCTTAATCCGATATACCTGAATTAATTATTTAACTGAATTTCCTAACTAGTAGACAGTGGTAAGCAGGGTCGTCTCCTCAGGGACTGGAGAGATATTTGTTTCTTTTCAAATCAAGATTAATGGGGGGTTTTGGTATCAAATGCCAACTGAACAAATTAAGTGCAGAAAATAATTTATTAAAAGAAATAACTAAGAGAAACTCTAGCCAAGGGTGTACTTCAGAAATGGTTCATGCAACTGATCATTGATTCAGAGGTAATTCCAACATTTACTAATAGATTGGTTATAGTTGTCTCGCACGCGCTAAACAACTAACCCTTCCGTAATTTATCGATAGCTAAGGTACGACCGTTAGCTATTTCTCTAACCCAAAAACAACCCTAGGTACGACCGTGGGATTTAATTTCCAGATTGCATTAATAATTAGAAAGGTCCAATCCTAACCAATAAACACGCTACGAGGGTTTATTTAAGCTAGATCATATATTCCCCTGACATAAACCCAATTATACCAGTTGCTACTGGGATAGAGGTAACGAACAATTACGGATTCAATTACCCCTATTTAGCAAAATAGTCTCTACGAATAATTAATTATTGCGCACTAATCAATCATACATAAGAACTATAACAATTAAGAGCAGGGAGTATATAAATACCAATAAACGGAGAAAATAATTAACAACGGCTTAGATCTCACAGTAATCGGTGAACCAATTCGTCAGTTGCCCCCTTGACTAGAATTAGGGGTTTAGGTTGATTAGAATTAGGGGTTTAGCTCCTCATTAATGGAGAGTAGGCCGCACGTGGAGAATTGGGAAAAATCACCGTGTCTGACCTTTTACTTTTTGGTCAAGAGCAGAGAACAAGAGCAAGAAATTTGGATTTCCTGCAATTGTCCCCAAAAGCCCAAACGTACAAGAGTCAGATTGTTCACTTGGATTGCATTCAGCGAAAGTAAAAACCAAAGCCTTGATGAGTCAACAACGGCGGCTTTGTTTTCTTCCTTTGCTCTCACAAAAGAGACATACGAGAGAAAGCTTTCAATTGCTTCTTTTGTCTTCCAATTTCGATCAACCCAATTCAATTCATAGACTGGAAAGTAGCAATTGCTCAAGTCAACAGAAAATGAAAAGCAATCCTAGAAAATGTCAACAATGGCGGCTTTTTTTCTCCTCTGATGCCGCCCCTCCCTGTTTCTTTTTTCCCCCCCTTCTCAAGCAAAACGTAAGAAAGGAATAATAACCTAAGCCTCCTTACGGAAGTCTAAATACTTCCCTCCGTTTGTGTCCGACATTTTCGGGAAGGGATTTTTCCCACAATTAAAAAAAGACTTCCTCCAATAAAAATAAAATTAAAATAAAATCTATTACAATTAGATTTCTTCATCTCTCAAGCGGGTCCCACGTACGATGAATCTTCTAAAAGTTGAATTTAAGCACTTTTCAGCATCCATTCCTGCAATTAACGCTCAAAACAAAATATCAGTAGAATCCACCCAATTAAGGAAAATATTTAGTCAATTAATTGTGCAATAATGCCCAAAATACCCACTAAAATGCATCCTATCAAAAGGTGATTGATTATAAACATAAGTAAACATATATAACTTTCCTACTTTATATAAGTATAAAAATTAAGGATAACAAAAGTGGTGATTGATTGTTGTTAACAAACATAGTAAATATTGTAAAATATGATCAAAATTAAAACATTAAAAACATAAATTCAGTAACAAAGTGGGTACGTGATTGATCGTTGTTAATAAAAATAGTACACCTAAAACATGAAAAAGGTTTAGAATTAGTTGTTGAATTAATCTTATATACACTATTAGTATATACACTATCACTATTAAATATAGGATTAATTTTCTATACACTGGTAGTATATACACTATCAGTATATATAAGGTTTACTTTTAAATATATGACATATGTGTAAAATTTAATTTTGAAATTCAAAATTTGTTTATGTGTCACCCATCCAACCGTGATAGTGTATATACTGACAGTGTATATAAAATTTACTCTTAATTGTTATTAATAAAAATAAAACAATTTAAATCTAATCAAATAAATTAAGGCAATGTGTATACGTGGCAAAAACATAACATGTCCACTTGGCAGAACATGACAATAACCAACTCAACAACACACTATACCGGGCATTGACAATAGTGAGTGCGTTTGGAAAAAAAAAATGACTTTCCAAATAAGGTGTCTTTTCATGGCTTGTTAGATTAGTGCAAGTTACAAAAAACTTAGCTTTTTACTATTTGTTCAATGCACAATGTGCACTGTGGCCCCATGCAAAGCAGCATGGGTCGGACCTTTTCACTATTGAAACATTAATTGGGCCAATAAAATTGGCCCAATAGAGTATCGAAATTACGGTTTTATCACTGGAGAAGAGGAAATCTACAGTTGAATAGAGGACGGAAACTATTGGTGATTCACATAAAGGTTATGCACTAAAATAACGTGATATAAATTGGGATGTGTGATGACACATTTGCTCGTTGTTGTGTCGAAAAATGGCGAGTCTAACTGCGAAGCGATATTCTGCCACGATTCGAAGAAGGAGGTTGTTCAGCAGCACAGCTAGCAATGGGAGTGCAGGGCCAATGTTGCGAAGACGTGCGAGGCTGTTCGTGCGTGGTAGGAAGCTCCTTTTTGCACAGACGGGCATTATGGATGAGACCTTCGACCCTGACAAAGGCGTGTCCTGTGATACGGTGTGGCACGATTACATTAAGCTCCCGGAACTGGATTAAGGATCCTGACATGGATATGGAAACAAGTGCAAAGTGACTTCTATCAACGTCGATGGAAGTGTGTTGATAGGCAGGAATCCTGCCTTAATGGATGATGGAACTGCGACCCAATGTGGTAGCACAATTGATGGCATATTAGGATCGTGCCTTAATGGAAGTGTGTTGCTCTGGAGGTCTACCTACCGCTACCATACCATACAGAGAACTCAAAACAAAAAGGCCCTTTGCTTCAAAACTACAGAGGTCCCGAGGAACTGTTAAAGATTCCTTATGTTTTATAAGAGAGACTTTTAAGACTTGAAATTCTATGATGTGACTCTACTGGGCCAAAGTGTTCCGTTGATTTTGAGTCAAGATCCCAATGTGAATTCAACGACCGCATTTGCAAAGAATGTGAACTCAACTAGGCGTGCGAGTGTTGTAGTTTTAGCATTGACTTGCTTGACTTTTGGTCAATAATTTGGATAGTGAATTAGTATTTATTTAAATTTATTTCCTTATATCATCAACATATTTTTTTTATTTCATATACATCACATCAAAAAATTATTACAGTATTTTTTTCAAAATATTATCCAAAATAATCTACTGTCCAAACACACTTCGCATATTCTTGTGCAAAAATGAGTGCTAATGTTAACTTCTTAGACTTGGAATTCATAGTACAATTCCCAGAAATGTAAATCAGTAAGCAAATTTAATATTAATGCCAAAAGGACAGAAGCTGTTCATAAAATATGTATGAAATTATTAAACCAAGCTAGTGCAATTGGTTACTAGTATTAGGTATTTTGTTTGGTTAATATAGTAGAGTTCAATTCCAAGTTGTACTAGTACTAGTAGTAGTCAGGTCATTATATATATATATATATGTGTGTGTGTGTGAGGGCCGAAAGATATCAGTTAAATAGTACAAATCCGTGGCCTCTTTGTTTGTATTTTGGCTTTTTATAAGTAGTAATCTCTGTCGTACTTTTCATTGTGTGTAGCTAGAATCTAGCTTCATCAATAGAAAAATCCCTTTGCCTCTTTGATCATTTGCCTTGAATATTTTTCTGTGGTTTGTGATTGATTATCAATTTGGGTCCATCAAAATAGTGGCACATCACTTGCCGTCTCTATTGCACTTAATCATGGAGCAAATTTTCAATCATTTCCTTCAGGGACTCTTCTTGCTGTATTTTGTTTCAGCTTCCTCAGCCATGACCACAACCAATATTACCACTGATCAAGATGCTCTTCTTGCGTTGAGAGCTCGCATCACCTCACAGGGCCCTCATCAAATCCTGTTGAAAAACTGGTCTGTTTCTTCCCCTGTATGTCAGTGGGTAGGAGTCACTTGTGGCTCTTGTCACCGGCGAGTAATGCCTTGGATCTTTCCAATATGAGTCTTAGTGGCATCATACCGCAGCTGGGAAATATGTCATTTCTGGTTTCCCTTAACCTGAGTAGAAATAATTTTCACGGAGAGCTGCCGCATGAATTTGCTCGATTACGCCGGTTGAGAGTGCTTGATTTAGATGTCAACAATCTCAATGGAGAGTTTCCTGAGTGGTTTGGTTCCTTCCTCAACTTCGACTATTATCTCTGAATACAACAGTTTCACTGGCTTCATCTCACCATTCCTTGGCTAATGTTTCCAAGCTGAAACGTTAGGTCTGTCATTCAACTATCTCCAGGGAAATATTCCAACAGAGATTTTCAACATTTCCTCACTGGAATCGATTTTCTTCCAGAATAATAGTTTATCTGGTAGCATTCCAGATAATATGTGTCAACATCTTCAGAGACTCAAGTGGATTGAGCTGTCAGGGAACAAGTTAAATGGTCAAATACCATCAAGCACACATAACTGTTCACAACTTCAATTGCTGGACCTTTCTTCGAATTACTTCACTGGATTCATACCAAAAAAAATTGGCACTTTGAAGGCACTTGAGCGGCTATATCTAAGCTGGAACAGTTTAGAAGGTAACATCCTATTTCTGCATGAGCGAAATAATATGAATTCTTCCTCCCCCCCCCCCCTCCCCCGGGGACAAGAAAAAAATTAAATAAACACAAGTTTAAGTGTCATAATAGAAGTTTTAAGGAGAAAACTCTTTACAGGTATGAACTCTTTATACTCCATTCCAAGTTTAGAAGGCATATGTGAATCTTCTTAACATCTCTATATACTACACTTTTTTTTCTTCCAGGTGAAATTTCAAAAGAGATGGCTAATTTAACTATGCTGAAAGAACTTGACGTTGGTTACAACAGCATAACAGGTAGACTAGGCGTCCATTATCAAAATGAAGAAAAAAATTATAATGGTGCTACTTTAGAAGCATTCAAAGCCTTCATATAGAATTTTATTGTGCTAATGTTGGTACCGTAATTTGGTAGGTGCAATACCCCAAGAGATCAGCAAGCTACGCAATTTGGAACTACTCTACTTGTTGGTGAATAACTTAACTGGTTTCATTCCAATGCAGATCTTTAATCTGTCACAGATAAGAATTTTCAGTCTTACAAGAAACAAACTTTCTGGCAATCTTCCAAGGATGGGTTTTCCAAATTTAGAGGAGCTTTATCTCGCCGAGAATAACTTCTGGGGACCAATACCGGACTCTATCTCCAATTGTTCTAAACTGAAGATAATAGAATTTGCTTATAACAACTTCGCAGGTTCTATTCCCAATTCCTTTGGGGATCTAAGACTCCTAGAAATTCTATCTCTAGGAGCCAACAATTTAACGAGTGACTACTCTTCATCTAGTTCAGAGCTGAGCTGGATCAATTCCTTGGCAAATTGCAAACATTTGAGAATACTTATCGTGAGTGAAAATCCGCTTAACGGCTTTCTTCCAAATTCTATTGGCAATCTTTCAACTTCGCTTCAACAACTTTCTGCATACAATTGCCACTTAAGGGGCAGCATTCCGGATGAAATTGGCAACTTGAGTAGCCTGATCATTTTAAGTCTGTTCACTAATCAGTTAAGTGGGATGCCGCCAATTACCATGAAAAATTTGGAAAACCTTCAAGGGTTAGATCTTCACGACAACAAGTTGAGCAAAAACTCCCTTGATTATCTATGCGTTCTGCAAAACTTGGCCGAAATATATTTGGGAGCAAATCAAATATCAGGATCCATTCCGGCGTGCATAGAAATGTTACTTCTTTGAGATACCTGTACCTAGATTCCAACGCGTTAAGCTCTAGTGTGCCTACCACTGTATGGAACCTAAAAGATTTGTTGGTGCTTAACCTCTCCTCAAACTCACTGCGTGGAAGTTTACCTCCTGAGATTAGGAACTTAAAGGCAGCAATTTCTATTGATTTGTCAATCAATGAGATTTCAGGTGGTATTCCTAGCCCATCGGAGATATGGTGAACTTGCAGAACCTTTTATTGGCATACAACAGATTGGAAGGATCAATCCCAGTGTCAATTGGCACGACTTTGAGTTGGAATGGTTGGATCTTTCACACAATCATCTCACAGGTACGATTCCAATGTCACTAGAGAACCTTCGGTCTCTTGTTTACTTCAATGCCTCTTACAACAAGTTAAGAGGTGAAATACCATCCAAGGGCCCTTTTTCAAACTTCACTGGAGAATCTTCATTTCAAATGAAGCACTTTGTGGAGCACCTAGGTTCCACGTTCCCTCATGCCAAGTACTTCAAGTGGTCGATTGAGGACCAAAAAGTTGCGTCGAACCATATCCGCTGCCCTTGGAGCATTTATATCAGTGGCAGTTGCCATATTTGTGGGATTCCTGTATCTTAAACGCGCAAAGAAAGAACAAGTTCCTAGTGAAGGGGTTCTATCGTCAGTTGCAACCGAGGAAAGAATCTCGTATTACAAACTTCTACAAGCAACTGACGGGTATGATGAGAGCAATTTGTTGGGCACAGGAAGTTTTGGATCAGTTTATAAAGGCACCCTTGATGATGGGAGGATTGTTGCAGTTAAAGTGTTTAAAATTCAACAAGAAGGAGCATTCAATAGTTTTGATGTAGAATGTGAAGTATTGCGCAATCTTCGTCATCGAAATCTGACAAAAGTCATTAGCAGCTGCTCAAATAGAGACTTCAAAGCATTAGTGCTTGAGTTTATGCCCAACGGAAGCCTTGAGAAATGGTTGTACTCCCACAACTATTTTCTAGAAGTCATGCAGAGATTAGACATATTGATTGATGTGGCATGTGCACTGCAATATCTGCACTACGGTTATTCGATTCCAGTGGTTCATTGTGATGTGAAGCCCGGTAATGTGCTCCTAGATCACGATATGGTTGCCCATGTGACTGATTTTGGTGTTACAAAGTTGCTGGGGCATGAGGATAGCATTACGTACACCAAAACATTAGCCACACTTGGCTATCTTGCTCCAGGTAAAGCTTCTTCTTGGTATAGCCACTCTGCTTTTTTGCCTTGCAGTTAATCTTGGAAATCCCAAATTCCAAATCTTTTGATTACTATTTTTGTTTGTAGAGTATGGACTGGAAGGACTAGTATCAACAAAATGCGATGTATACAGTTTTGGAATCACGATTATGGAAGTCTTTACAAGAAAAAGTCCCAGTGACGAAATGTTTGGCGAAAATTTGAGCCTGAAGAGTTGGGTGAGTGATTCTATGCTAATGGACTGGTTCATGTTGTAGATGCTAATCTGCTGAGGTCCAATCATGAAAAGTTAGACTGCATTTCATCAATCATGAAAGTGGCTTTGAATTGCACAAGGGAATCTCCAAGGGAGAGAAGCAATATGCATGATGTTCTTGCTGATCTAAAGAAGATCAAAACTCAGCTCCTGCCATGTTCAAAAGCAGGTCCATGTCCTCCCAAAAATTACTAGTTCTACCGAGTCTAAAGTCATATTATATATAACTAGCCAGTTACGGTTGTATTTGGTGCAGATGTGTGTGATTGTTGTCTTTTTTCAAAATTTAGTGCATATTTAACAATTAGATTTATTTATACATTAAATTGATTTGCACAAATAAAACTTACGAGCATAATAAAATTAGATACTAATACACTAATGTATAAGAAATATAACAACCGTATGACCATACAAAAATTTCAATCACACTTGTCCTTGGTATAGATATTTAATGATCTCTAGAGTTTAGATAACTAAACTTTTCATTAATTTTTTTTTATTGATTTTGCAAGTGAACTTTTCACTAGAATTTACTTTTGAAAAGAAAGAGTATGAAATGACAAGACATGCTATAAAGACGGTACAATTTATTAATCGTCACGCGAGTCAAACAATGTAATTGCATCACTATAGGTCCAAAGCAAATGAAGCGTGCCGTAAATTAGGTGGATCAAGATTTTCACAAATATAAACAATAAAACTAATGGACCAAACAAGCCAAAGATGAATTCAATTAATCACAACAATAGCAAGTCATTGACACCTTACTAGGATGAAAAAAAGAATTACCAGACAAACATGAGAGCAAAAGATCTCAATTTGGCTTGGAGGTACTACTTGTAACCAAAGAATAAGACACCATTCACCTGATTAATTTTGTTCTTTTCCAAAAATTTTAGTAGAGGGAAAAGGAAAATTATCCACTACTTTTCCTATTTTGTTCATGAGATTGCCATGATGTAATGATCGTGACGTTTATCTAACGGTTCGGTCAAATAATCTTTCTTCAAGGGACGAAGTGTACATAAAGTTTTAAAAAAAAGAAACGTTTACCCTCATAAATCGTAAGTATCAATCACAATCAATGACTACTATTTTTTAGTTCGATTTGGTGCCGCCAAACTAATTAAATCCCACTATCTCGAGATGGGCTCTTTCTCGAGATACTTTTCCCTATCAATATTTTCATTAAAAAAATGTATATAGTTACTGCACTGTCAAAATATTATGAGGGTTGTAGAATTCTAGTTGATTGGATATGGATAGTTTTAGTTCACAACTTCTAGTTTCCTTTAATTTATTAAATTCGCAGCAGATGTTAATCTTCTTTCGTTCTTTTTTTTTCCTTCTCTATTTTGTAGACCTACTTAGTGTGTATAATGTGATTTTCGATGACAAGCAGCGAACGCAAAGTTACCCTCAAAATATCTATCTTCATTTAACTCTTGGGTTAATCTTCTATACACAGTATACAAGAATAATCCTTGACTCATTGTTGTGAAACAAGATACCTACTTTAATTAACTCTAGTATGTTAAGCAAAGTAAAAGTATATGCAAAATGACAACGAAACCGCCTTATTCATTTGTAAAGCACATACATCACTTCAACATGATCTCAATAATAAGAAGTTCATATTCATACATTTACAAGTTAGAAAGCACGTACAATCCTACACGTTTAGCAAATTTAACAAACTTATGCCCTCAAGAGGTCATGGTGAATTTGGTTCAGCAACAGGTGCAATAGGGCCTCCAGGCGGGGAACAGACACAGGGCAGCATCTGCCTGGAGAGGGTTGACAGGTGCCGAACCTGTGCAATAATAAATACCTGCTCAAATAAATACAAATTCTGTATATAGCGGTAAGCATGGTCGAATCCACAGGGACTGGGGATAATTTAATTTCTTCTCAAGTTCCAGATATGGGGGTTTTTGAAAATGAGAGTAACTAAATTGCTTGGAATAAATTAAAATAAAATATAAATAACTACAACTCAAATAACTAATTATCACAATAAAAATAATAATTGACGAACTCTAGCCAAGAGACAACTTCGGAGATGCGTTCACTTAATTCGATCACAGATGCAAGGATTATTCCAGTTACTATCTGCATAAATTAGTTATAGTTGTCATACACGCGATAAACAACCAACTCTTCCTCAATTTGTCGATAGCCAAGTACGACTGTTGACTATTTCTCTAATCAGGAAATAACCTAAGTTACGACCATAGAAGTTCAATTCCCTAATTGCATGAATAATTAGAAGAGTCTAATTCTAACCAATCAACACGCTACGAGGGTCTCTTTAAGTTAGCCTGTCTATCCCTGACACAAATCCAATCATGCCAGTTGCCACCAGTTTAGAATAATTAAACAATTACGGATTTAACTATCCTAATTGGCTTCAGGTTATTGAATTAATCTAGAATCGGGCCCTGGATAATCGAATGATAAAACAACCATATGAACATAAAGCAGAAGATAGACAAATATCAGTGAATAATGAAAATAAATAAAAACTAATTCGATCTCACAAATTTAGTAGAACCAAGTCCTCCGTTGTTCTTGACTAGACAAACTTAACCACGTCTCATGAGAAAATCTTCAAGTAATTTCATTGAGGTCCAGGCCATCCAAAGAGCCAAGAAAGAAACAAAACTAAACTATGCTAAAAAACTCTCAATTCCCCAAAGATAAAGCCGCGGCCAAAGGAAAAGAATTGTCTCCTAATCTAAAACAAATTGCTTCACTTCTCTCCGTGGTCCCCACGAATTAGCACAAGCCTGCCGAATCCACCTCCTTGTTTTGAGCCCCTGTGCGGTCCCTACCGAATTGAGCAAGAGTACAAGTAAAAGTGGGGCTCTGACGAATTGTTTTCTCCCTATTCTTTTCGTTTCCAAATGCTACTCAGCCTCCCCCTATTTCCGTTTGTTTCTGCCGAAGATAAGGAAAAGAAAAGACAAAAGGTCTCAATGTCCTTCTTTTTCGTTTCTTCTTCATAGTCAGACTCCTAGTCAGCAAAAGGGAGCTGGAAGTCCGTTTCTTCTCAGCAACGCGGGCCAGGTTTGTGAAGTTTTTTAGAAGTCTCCCTTTTTCTCCAGAAATTATCCCCTTTTTCGTAATTTCCTGCTCCATTCCCTGAAATTAAGTCCCAATACCAAATATAAGTACATTTCAACAATTAAAACAATATTTGGCAAGAACAAAGAGGGAAATTAATCATAAAATTAACAACAAATTATGCCCTATCAATTCTCCCCACACCTAAATCATGCTTGCCCTCAAGCATGAGAACAACAATTGAATACCGAAATTTAATAATGGCTATTGTTCCAACTACCGTATTGCCAAGGTACCCAGAAAAACATATGTCAAGCATCACGGGTTAAAATCAAAGAAAAACCACCCGGTTAGCTTCCCAATCACCAACTCCTCCAATTTAAAGCAAACTAATCTAAGGAAAAGGAATGGTTGCTCACATCTATCAGTAAATGGTCCAACTATTAATAAAAATCTCGACATTAAGATCACAAACCGACAAGCTGACTTGTTCACATACTAACACAATATTTATTTTATTTTATTTTATTTTTATTTTATTTTATTTTTTTTTTTGAGTAACAAAAGACTTAGTCCATAGCCCTTAGAACCTTTTGACGCGAACCCCAACATTTGATAGATGGAGGAGCCCGGTTACTCAGCTCCAATCGCTACAGGACCACGCACTCATAGCAATTACTACCTTTTGACGCGAAAATCGACACTTTAGGTGAAGATCCCCGGTTACTTAGTAGTAACTACTAGCAGAGTACAGTCAGCTCTTATTTACAACCATACAGCACAATAACTAAAAATAACACAAAGATAACAGCAGCCAGCCTCAAATTTCCAAATATGGAGAACTAAAATTAATAATTGGACCAATTCACATAAAAAAAAATGCCAACTATCATTCCCCATGCCTAGAAAAGTTAACCAAAAATTGGAAAAGTCAAGCAATTACCGATATTCACCAGAGAGATGTTCATGAACTCAACCACATTAATTTAATATCCTTTTGTTAATAATACTTGGCAATAGCAGAATTAGAGACAACAATCCAGCATCAAACTTGGTATTCATATGAAGACTGACCACTAGAAAAAAAAAAGAAATAAAATAAACGAAAAAGGAGATAAATATCAAACTAAAACAAAGGAAAAACCTCTAGAACAAAAAAAAAAACTAAAAATACTAGCACCCAAACTGACCCCCCCCACACCTAATTCACACATTGCCCTCAATGTGCTAAATAAACAGTAATAGTAAGCAAAAGAACAACGGTACTTCCCTGAAATCACGGAGATCATGGCAGGGCCACAGCAGTGGGTGAGGCGAGGCTTGGTTGAGTTGGGTTGGAGTAGGTTAAGGTCAAGAGATTCTGGACCTAGAAGAGAACCTTGATCTCACTATTGCCGCTAACAAGTAACCCAATCAACAGAAACAAAATTGCCAACATATAGAGGAACAAGTAAATGCAGATCAGTAGAAATCAACATCCTCTAATGAAGTCAACAATCAACCCAATAAGCACAGGTATCTCCCAATTCAAAAGGGTAGTGCGTAATAAATGGCCCACCAAATTAGCAATTTAAAGCCCTGAGCAATTTAAGCCCAACAAGTCAATCAGTACCAGAAAATCATTCCAAACAATGTACCAGTTAAACTCCACGGGCAAAGGACGTCCAACCAATTTCACTCAAGCAAACTAGGAGCAATGCGACTGATTAAACAAAGCAACAAATTTCAGCAATTGGACACATATCCACCCAAAATCCCCACAAATGCCCCCAAGAATTCAGCAAGTCCAGTAATAGCAGGTCAGAATTTAGGCAATAACAACTTAGTCACAAGCTCGGAGCTTTCAATCAAGCAGCCAACCAAAGAGAATGAATAAATGTTAGGCAAACTACCACATCCAGTACCACTGGTGTACGCACAGAGAAGAATTAAATCAAACGGCAAACTCAATTCACTAAGAAACCCCAAACAATCAACTTAGCAACTAACTTAATTTATGGCAACAATCAGCGTAATAAAAGCCAGTGTGTCACAGGTAAGCCGACAAATGACTGACTGGAGCCAACCAGAGCTCAACACAGACCCACAGAAGGCAATTACGGAATTAATTAGGCAAAAATGCAGTAGAGGAACCACAAGTGAGTTCAGCAAACAAATTTCAAAGTAATGCCCAAAAAAAACAAAGAAAAGTGGAGTAGAAAACAAAGAGCACAGCGGCGGCCTTTGGAGCTGCTGAAGGTGGAGACGAGCTGGCGGTGCAGAGCTGGTGGTGAACAGCAGCGGAGAGAGAGGTGAGAGAGCACAGGGGGCTGGTGGAGGTCCCTGCTTGTTCGCACGATGCAGCGCGGCGGAGCGCCTGGGCCTAGAGCTGCGGTATGTAGGCGCGGCTGCCAAAAATTCAACAGTGCTTGTGCAGCGGCAACAGCGGCGAGCAGCGGCGGCCGGTGGCAGCTGGGTTGCGCGCAAGGGGCTGCTGGATAGAGCAACGGGCAGCAGATGGCGTGCGTCCGTGGCTTTGGGAGGCGGCGCGGCGGCGGCGACTGGTGCGAGCGTGGCTGGCAGGAATGGCGCGGCGGAGGACAGCGGTGGTGCTGGGCGTGCGGCAATGGCGAAGCTGGGGAAGAGCTTGCGGAGGTGAGCTGAAGTGTGGCTGGCGAATTGATGTGGTGGTGGAGCTGGATGGTATGGGTGAAAGGGCGGCGGCCGGAAGAAGAAATAAAAGAAAACGGAAGCAGGGCAGCGAGGAAGAAAGAAAGAAAGAAAGAAAGAAAGAAGAAGAAAGAAAGAAAAAGAAGAAAAGAAAAAAAAAGTTTTTGGGAAAATTTTTTTTTTTTTTTAGTCAAGGACCCTCTGGCTAAGGCGTGGGCACGCCTAACTGCCCCTAGACTTTTGACCATCCGTCGAAAATTCTCGATCCGTTAGCGTGACCACCTAGCGTGGGCACGTCTAACTGCTATAGAGTCCGCAGAACCTGAACGAAAATTTTCTCCGTCAGGCGTGACCATCTGGCGTGGGCACGTCTAACTCCTATGGAGTTCACAGAACCTGAGCGAAAATTTCTTTTCCTCAGACGTGACCACCTGGCGTGGGCACGTCTAACTGCTATTTCCCTGCCACCAAACATCAAACCATTAATTGACACTAACACTTAACTAAAACTTCAAAAATGCATGAAACTAAAACAAATAGTCTTGGGTTGCCTCCCAAGTAGCGCCTTTCTTTAATGTCTTTGGCTAGACATTTTCATGTGTATTCATGGAGGATAAAATCTTGTGGCTCGTTTCAGTGCTTCATCTTCTATGTAATCCTGATAACCCTCGTAAATGGAGTAATTCTTGGGCACACGAGCTACGGGCTTCCATGGACTAGTAAATGGCACCAAACAAACAAATGATGATCTTAAACCTTCACTCACTCCTCCATCAAGAGCACTTATTGGTTCGAGATATTTTGCCATCATGACTCTCAATTTATTCCTGGTATGAAATTCAAAATCGTCTGGTAAAATAAAATCAATCTCACTAACAGGAATTAAAGAATAAGAGTCACGAAAATGTTGATCAAGGAATGGATGAGATGTCACCGCATTTGGAGATTGTTCACTGGATTCATTCACTTGAACCATTTGATGTTGGGGTCTCAATTCTTGCTCTTCAACTTTCTTTTCAACTACATCTTTAGATTCTTTTTCTTGAGACTCTTGCAGTACCATGTCATTTGTCAGAATAATTGCACTCTCATCTTCCTCATGGTCGATAATAGTCGGTGAGGGCAATTCTTCATAAACTGGAGAAATCAATTTGCTCGTTTTAAATGCCCATTCAAGCCTTGCTTCTTTCATCTCTTTATTCATCCTTTGTGTCTCCTGTTGAAGTTGATGTACCTCCTGTTGAATTTGATATGTGTTAGTAGCTATTAATTCAACCATTTCTTCAAGAGACATACCTGACATGGATGACGGTTCTTGAGACTCATACTGCTGAAAATTCATTGGCCCTGTTGTATAATCATAACTGGAGTTATCCCACCATCCTTGATCATACCCGTTTGGATTAGGGTTATACCACGTTTGAGACCAGGGTGAAAAATCTCCATAATTATTGAATGTGACACTCAAATCATCTTGATATTCGGGGCACATACCGATTGAATGATCCCTGGCATAACAAATTTCGCAGGTTGCAGCAGCCATTCTTTTTTTAATAGAGTTTATTGCCTCTAAATATGCAAACTTAGAAAAACAATCAGTCTCATTGCCTTCCCCGAAAACAAAATCCAGTATATCACCAAAAAACGGAGTGTTAGAAGCCATGAACTATATAATAAAAAAAAATAAGAGAAATAAGTTAAAAATGAAAACAAGGTGAACTTCAAAAAGAAACAAATTAATCTGACACCAGTCCCCGGCAACGGCGCCAAAAATTGACAGGTGCCGAACCTGTGCAATAATAAATACCTGCTCAAATAAAATACAAATTTTGTATATAGCGGTAAGTAGGGTCGAATCCACTGGGACTGGGGATAATTTAATTTCTTCTCAAGTTCCAGATATGGGGGTTTTTGAAAATGAGAGTAACTAAATTGCTTGGAATAAATTAAAATAAAATAAAATAACTACAACTCAAATAACTAATTATCACAATAAAAATAATAATTGACGAACTCTAGCCAAGAGACAACTTCGGAGATGGTTCACTTAATTCGATCACAGATGCAAGGATTATTCCAGTTACTATCTGATAAATTAGTTATAGTTGTCATACACGCGATAAACAACCAACTCTTCCTCAATTTGTCGATAGCCAAGGTACGACCGTTGACTATTTCTCTAATCAGGAAATAACCCTAGGTACGACCATAGAAGTTCAATTCCCTAATTGCATGAATAATTAGAAGAGCCTAATTCTAACCAATCAACACGCTACGAGGGTCTCTTTACTTAAAACTTAAAACAATCAAAGCCAGAAAATTCAAAAGAGTACTATATACAACCCCAAAAGAGTTATAATTACATTCTCCAAAAGTATCGAGTCAGACCACCAAAACAAAAATAAACATCCTAACTGTTCAACTATTACAAGCCAATCTAACTATACTAGTATACGAGCCAAAAGTCCCCGCATCGGCCCCTGCTAAGGAAAACAAAAGGAATGGGGTAAGCTATATGCTTAGTAAGTAAACAGGGGCGAAAGCGTAAATTCATGTAGCAACAATTACACAATAAGAGTAAAGCAAAAGCAGAAAAGAACAACATCATATAATAAGGATACGGGTGGCTCCAAAGCCAATTCATGTGCCATGCATGATCTCCTGCCGACACTCCGTCGACCGTAAATAATAGTCCGTAGAACTTCCCTTGTACACCCACCGACACCTTATCACCCTCACTGGCCAGTCACCTCACAAACTTGCCCGGGCGAACGAAATTACAAACTTGAACTTGAGTCACAAGCTCGGGTCACAAACTTGGTCACCTTCTCGGTGAACCGGATTCACAAAATTGGTTCATAACATGAACCTACAAACTTGGTGACCTCAGACTAAGTTGGACTGACTTCGACCAAGCCCTAACCGGCTCGAATAGTCCAACCAGGTCAAGAGTTCGCCCCAAACTCACAAACTTCACAAAAATTATTCAAAATCACAAACTTTACAAACTTCACAAACTTTATTCGAAAGTCGCCCCGAGCCACAAGCTCAAGGGTTTTGGTTCCAAAAGGTTCATATACATATGCCAAGTACAATTATACATTCAAATTAGGGTTTAGGTCGAGTGCGATAAAGTACACCCTCGCCTAAGTGCCCTTTTCACATATCTCAAACACATAGCAAAGAAAACACACCAAACTGGCCTGAATACTTACCCAAAATACAAAAGTAGTACTAAAGCAAAATCGCTTCGCGCGTGTTCGCTAGTAGTGGGCCCCACCGGCTCCGCCTAGCTCACCCCTGTCTGAAATAGAAGATTGTGTCATAATATATCACAAACGGCCACTAACGTACTTAAAACAAGCAAAACGGCAAAATTGGCACGCGCCAGTGCGGAAACGGCAAACGGGACGGCCAGATCTGCCATCTCAAACCGTTTTGGTCAAAAGTTAGGCTAAGAGTGTCGGATCAAGGTGGGTGAGACACCGTTTCGAAGCTAAAAGGAAGAGCTACAACTTTAATTTAGGTATCTCAACCCAGATCTCAATAGGTATAGGTCAAAAATGCACGAAACAGTGCCAGCTGTTTCATTGCGGTTTACCAAACAGGCCCTGTTTCCAAGGCCGTAACTCACGGTTCAGAAATCAAAATCAAGAAATTGCAGAGGCGTTAGAAAGCTGAAACATAAGGCTAAAACTTGGATGTTTTGGCCAAGATCTGAATCCACTCAGAATAGAACGAAAATCGAGTGCCAAAATACCCGTCAGAACTGTCCAGATACAAGGCAGTTCTGACGATCTATATTGTTTGGGTCATAACAGAAGCTACGGAACTCGGATTCCGACGCACTTTATACCGTTTCGAAGCTGAGACCAAGATCTAAATTTATTATGAAGGATTCGACACCCAGATCGAACGGGATCAATGCAGAAAAACCCACGGTCAGAAACTGAAATTCAAAACGTACACAAACGAACGTCTAAAACAGGCCTGATGGTTTTGTCCATAACTCAGGATACACTAATCCGTGTGACCTGAAATTTTACAAGTAGATTCAGGACCTAAGAGGCTACAATGTTGAAGAAGGCCACTCAATCCAGTTTCTAGTGTAACTAGGTCAAAAATGCAAGATACTACACCAGCATCGCAAAAACAGATTCACAAAATGTATTCTAGCACAAACATCATAAAACAGGCTACCTAAGTACAAATTCTGAGATTCCAAAGCCATATGAAAGCTAAGATTTAAGGTTACATTTCATCAGAAGACCATAACAACCAATTCAGAAGCAATCTCAACCAAAACAACCAATTACAATCGCAGTTCTTACATTCGGCCAAAACCAGAACAGCAAGGGTAAATTCGACTTTTCTCACTCTACGCTGCTCCGATTGACCTGAAATTTTACAGGCACCTATAAAATGTCATTACCTACAACTTTCATGTTTTAAGCCAAGGCCAATTCGGCCTCTATCTATGACCAAAAGTTTCGGACAGAATGAAGAACCAAGAACCCTAATTTTTCCAGATTTCTTCCAAAACAGAAATTACTTGAAATCTTCCACTTTTTCCACCCTCTAGAATCATTATATACCATTTCCAATCATCATAAACAACCACACCATCATAATCCAATTAAACCAGAAAAATCATCATAAAATAGAAAACTTCACCAAATCACTCCAAACCAAGATAAAAACCAGAAATTTCAGCACTTGAATCACCAATAAGCATAACATAAGCATCATTAGGTGTAGTAGGGTGGTTCAAGCCTCACTTACCAAGAAACAAGAGAGAGGAAGATGTTGGTCACCTTAGCTCTTCCAAAAAGCTTCACTAAACAACTTACTAACACTAATAGGAGAGGTTTTATGGAGTAAGTTCAAGATTAAACGGTTAAGTTGTTGATTTGGGCAAGATTAGAGCAAGGAATTGAGAGAGGTTTTTCTTCTTTTGCTTGGAGAGAGAGTCGGCCAAGAGGGAGAAAAGAATGAGGAATTTTTGGTTATTTTTGGTGATTTATTTGGTCAAAATAGAAAAAGGTGAATAGTGGTCTTATGGTAAGATTAAATCTTATGGTGACACTTGTCACCTTTTATTAAATATCTACCTAACTTTTCTCTCTCATATCAATCCAAATTGCAACCTCTACTTATCTCTTAACACCCGGTAAATTAAACCCAGTATCCGAAACTTAACCTAATCGGCCGAATTTTTCCGAACTTTTCGCACTAGTGGGTCCCACGTCCGATATACGTTCTTAATTTCTCAAAAACTAACTAATACTAGAAAAATCATCTAAAAACTCTAGTTACTCAATAAAAATTATCTGGGGAATTTTCTAATAAAGAAAATGTAGGAAAACGGGTTTTCAATGTTAACCGGAACTGAGGGTTTAAATCTTAATCCCTACTTAGGGTTTTCGAAATACTCCCAAAAACCAAACGTTACCGCCCAATTAATGAATATATCAACGTAGAACGAACTGGGGCCTCACATTCTAGACGTTATTTTGTTTCCTTGTCTATAATTTTGTACCTTTCTTCAATATATTCATTTCTTATACATTTTTATAAGGAAATATAGTTTTCAAATCATTTCCTTGATACAAGTTAGTCCACGTTAAGTTTGAAGTGTATTATGGACGTGGGACCCGCTAGTGCGGTAAATGTGGTATATTTTTGACAACTCATTGGAGTTAATTGTAAAGATTAAAAGAAGTTTGGGCCATATTGTGACTTTGGTTGATTACAAGTTGCTAGACTTCCTAAAGGTTCCATGATATTCCTAAGCTTAATTTTCATTGGCTAATCAAAAAGGTAGTGGACTTTGACCAAGGGACTTAGTTAATATCTTCTTAGCAAGACCAAAGGCCAAAACAACAAGGAGAATTTCAGCCAGCTCTAGGGAGAAAAGAGGGGAGAAAAACCAAGAGAAAATAAGAGAAAGAACAAGAAAAATTCTGGTTTTGTGCAACCCATCCAACAAGCTTGGGAGTTAGAGCAAAAGAAAGCTAATGAACTTGGTTCTTGAAGTGCAGCCTTGTAAACCCACCTTTGGAAGGTAAAGCAGCCTTGAACTCTTGTAAAAGCTTATAGCAATTGGGTAGAAATGTTGTTTTTGATGTTGTAAGATGCTAATAAGGGTTAATGATGGTTTATATATCACTTTTGTGGGTTTGTGTGGAAGATTTGGTGATTTCTATGGCTGTTGAGAAAATTCCAGAATTGAGATTTCTTATGGTTCAGTTCTGCCCGTTTCTGTTTCACCAGGTTAGAGGCCGAATTGGCCTTAGCACAAAACATGAAAGTTGTAGATAATGATGTTTTCTAGTTACCCGTAAATGTTCAGCTCAATATGAGCTCGGTAGCCTGTGAAAAGACCGAAATACCCCTGCTACCCTGTTTCTGTCCGAAACTGATAATCAGCTTTGGTAATTGGTTAGTTTGACTGGGAATACTACTGATTTAGTTGTTGATGTCTTCTTAAGAAATCTAGCCCTGTATCTTAGCTTTCAAATGGCTTTGGAATTACCTGAATTGGAGTTGCGTGTGCTGAGATATGAGTGAATAAAGCAAGACTGCTAGTTGATTTCCGCAGTGAATTTCGAACTGGAAAATCTGGAGTTGTTTTGGAACATTTGACCTAGTTAGGGTGAGAACTGGACTAAGTGGTCTTCATGAAAGTTATAGGGAATGATAATTTAGAGGTGCTTGCAAAATTTCAGGTCAATCGAAGTAGTGTAGCTTGAGAAAAGACGGAATTACTATTGCTGTTCTGGTTTTACCCGAATGTAAGAATTGCGCCTGTAATTGGTTGTTTTGGTCAGGATTTCTTCCGAATTAGTTGTTGAAGCCTTCTGATGAAATTTAGCCCTATTTCTTAGCTATCAGTTGGTTTTGGAATTTCTGGATTTGGACTTGGAGAGCCTGAGTTATGATGTTTCCGCTAGAATACGTTCTGTGAATCTGTTTTTGTGATTCTGGTGTAGTATCTTGTATTTTTGACCTGGTTACACTCGAAACTGGGTTGAGTGACCTTCTGCAATATTTTAGCCCTGTCTCTTAGCTTCGAAACGGTGGGTCTTGTACCTTCATCCGACAATCGTAGCGCCTTTGGTACCATTACCGCAAAATGACGTCAAAACTGTTTTTCTGGTTTTGAGATTAACCTTCATTTCCGGACTTTTTCCCTAGCTTGACTTGTCTTTGTACTTCTTGGAGCTTGCTGAATGGATATTAGATGAACTTATTTGTGTGACTTTGGGACTGGCTGAAGAAATAATGAAGCCATGATGGCTGGAAAAGTAAGCAAATTTAGGGGAAGTGCTGTCCGAAGTTTTAAAGGATTTGTTTGCATTGAGTTTGTGATCTAAGACTTGGATTTGAGCAAGGCAGTGATATTTGATGGATGATTTCTGAGCCGTGGAGGTGAGTGACCTCAAACTACTTCTAAAGTTATTTATGAACCGTTTCTTACATTATTTACTTTTGAACTGTTTCCAAAGTCACTTTTGAAATGTTTTCTTGCATATCATGTGTGCTGGCATTTGAGTGTGCCTTGTTTGCTATATTTCTTGACTTCATGACTTGTATTTTGGTTGATAACGTGTTAAGCGCTTATAATGATTTTCAAAACGAGTTTTCGAGGCGAGTGTGTACTTTATCGCACTCGACCTCGATAAATGTGAAATTTTCGATTGAAATGTTACTTGCGTATGAATGTAAGCCTTTTGGGCTGAACTGGCCATTGCCCCTTGTTACCGGTCGTCTTGAGCCAGAAGCGGACTCGGTCAGGCGATTAGGAACTTGGGTGAACGTTTGGTATACTCGAGTATTACCTATGTAGGTTGGTGGAGCCTGGCCAAAAGCCAGGGACGGGGTGAATGAAACGAAATGAATGACCAAATGAGCGAGGAAATGTCAGGAGAATGAATGTATCCTTTCATGAATGTTACTATCGCTTTCCATTGTAAATGTTTCTTGAATTATTGATAATCCATATTTACTGTTTTGCAAATGATGTAGTTGTTTCCGGATTTATCATTTAATTTATGACATCATTGCTATATGACATCATAGAAATGAACTATTGTGAAACCGAGTTGATTAATGATTTTCTGGTTACTCGCTGAGTTTTTAGCTCACCCCAAAAACTATTTTATTCCCCTCCACAGGGCTCGTGGCGAAGGAAGGACTTGTAGTACTTGTGCACGTGTATGGATGGCCTAAACTTTGTACAATTTTGGATTTGGAATTATTTTATGTATATTTGGGATTAGTTTCCGCTGCATTTGTGACATGTAATTATTGGAGACGGATGTGTATTTGTGGACCATTTGATGTATACTTGAGATTTATATTGTAATCTGTTTGAGGAATGTAGTGAACGACTGAGTCCCGGCGAGAGCTGGGCAGGCGGCCCGCCGAACCCTTTGGTTCGCCTTAGGGGGAGGTGGGGCCGTCACAGTTTTTGCATCAAAACACATCCAAGACCTTCTCTAGACGCATCAGAGTATACGGTATAACCTTCTCCTCCATCAGGTAATACCAAAACAGGAACGGATGTTAATCGCTTCTTTAACTCCTGAAAGCTTGACTTGCATTTTGGAGCCCAGATAATCTTGTTACCTTTCTTGGTTAGATCGGTCATAGGTCCAGCAATCTTCGAAAAATCCTTGATAAACCTCCTATAGTAACCTGCTAAACCCAAGAAACTTCTAACTTCTATTGGAGTTTCTGGCTGTTTCCACATCATAACGGCCTCAACTTTTGCCGGATCCACGGCAATTGCCTCTTTAGAAACTTTATGCCCTAGAAAAGATATCTCTTCTAGCCAAAACTCGCACTTACTGAATTTGGCATACAACTTATGCTCTCTTAATATCTGCAAAACTATCTCCAAGTGCTTAACATGTTCCTCTCGAGTCTTAGAGTATATCAAAATATCATAAATGAAAACCACTACGAACTGATCCAGATACTTCTTAAAGACTCTCTGTATTAAATCCATGAAAGCAGCTGGTGCATTAGTTAATCCAAATGGCATAACTGCAAACTCAAAATGTCCATATGTTGTATTAAAAGCAGTCTTGGGTATGTCTTCCTTCTTAATTTTCAATTGGTAATAATACCCTTGCCTCAAGTCCAGCTTAGAGAAAACTACAGATTCTTGCAGCTGATCAAATAAACTATCGATCAAAGGCAGAGGGTATTTGTTCTTAATTGTAACTTCGTTTAACCCTCGGTAATCGATACATAACCTCAAGCTTCCGTCCTTTTTCTTGACGAATAGAACGGGTGCTCCCCATGGTGAGTCACTTTCTCTAACGAAACCTTTCTCCAGTAGGTCCAGCAGTTGAATTTTCAACTCTTTTAGCTCTGCAGGAGCCATTCGGTACGGAGTCTTAGAAATCGGAGCCGTTCCCGGCACCAAGTCAATCTTGAACTCCACTTCTCTCTCCGGTGGTAATGTCTTTAGTTCTTCGGGAAAAACATCTGGAAATTCCCGTACCACTGGTACATCTTCTAACTTCACTTGGTCACTGGGAGCGTTAATCAGGAAGGCTAAGAAACCTTGCGCTCCTTTGTACAACATTTTTCTTGCCCGTATTCCCGAGATCATAGCAGACGATGCTAACCTACCTTTCACATCTAATTTCAGAGTTGCTTCCCCGGGAATCCAAAGTTCTAACACTTTTGCTCTGCAATCAAGCTTAGCATGATGATGGGCTAGAAAATCCATTCCTATAATAACATCATACCCCTTTATGTCCAAGCTGATTAGATCCACTAGCATTTTACGCTCTCCAATCCAGAATTCGCAATTCTTATAGGCTAAGCTAGTGATTATACTTTATTACCCATAGGTGTCCTAACTTCAAGATCAAAGGGTAACTTAACAGGTTGTACATCGATTCCGGACATAAAAGTTGAATTCACAAATGAATGAGTTGCACCAGGATCAATTAGTACTCTAGCTAATCGATGAAAAATTGGAAGAGTACCTTCCACAACTTCCGAGGAATCAGGTACCGGTTGGTCATCTATAGCGTATACCCTGGCAGGAACTTTCGGCCTATTTCCTCCAGAATTGGCTGGTCTAGCATTCAGGGTACCACCGTCTTGTATTTTTGGGCAACCGAAAATTTGGTGCTCACTGCTTCCGCACTTCAAGCACTTTCCTTGTTTCTTCCAGCAACCGTCCTCAGTATGGCCAATTTTCTTGCAATACGCGCAAGTCACCTGGGAAATTATCACACGACCTCCTTGCGAGGCGTTCCTAGGTTGACCCCTTCCAGTTGGTCCCCCTGTAGCTCCATTATCTCTCCCCCTGCACTTCTTGCTCCAGTTCCTCTCGCTAGAGCGCTTCGTGGTGCTCTAGGACTATTCACTCCCCCGTTCCTCGACCCACTTTGGCCGGTGAAGCACTTCCATAAGTCGGCTCCCAACTGCTACTAGGGGCAAATCTTTTCTTAGTCTGAAAAGATTTTACTTGAGCTCTGGCAACTTCAACCCTTTGAGCTCTCTCGACAGCATCGGCAAATGTGTCCATCCGAACAGCAGTTAGTCCTTCCTGGATTTCCATGTTTAATCCCTGCACAAACCTCCTTATACGCCTTTGCTCCGTGGCTACCGATTCAGGAGCAAAACAAGACAATTTTGTGAATTGGACCTCATATTCGGCGACACTCATTGCCCCTTGCCTACATTTGATGAAGTCGTTCTCTCTTTTCTCTTGGATGAGAGGTGGAAGAAACTTGGCGTTGAACTCCCTTGTGAAGTTTGCCTAGGTCCTGGGAGTATGATTCCTATCCCAGTTAACCCTAACTAGGTTCCACCAGGAACGAGCAGCTCCCTCAAACTGGAATGCGGCGAAAGTCACTTGTCTTTCTTCCGCATAGTTTAAGGCTGCGAAAATGTCAGAGATTCACCTCCGGTTCGGGTCCTCCATAAAACTTGGGAGGTCGGAACTTCAAAAATCTCTCCAGTGCCCGATCCTCAGTATCGGCTGGGCCTCCTTGATGATGCACTTGTCCAGAGGCTTGGTGCTCAGTCAAGCGTTCTAGGACATCAGTGATTCGATTAATTGCGGCGGCCACTTGGTCTTGATTGACCTCAGGTTCCCTATCACCACCCGTCTCGGGGTGTTGTCTAGTTGGTCTCCCACGTCCCCTACCTATCACTTGTTGATCCATGGCCTAGTTATGCCTATTAGTGAGAAATAAGGCAATTAGGCGAGAATATTATTTGTTATTAGTTTTCTCTTTATAAATAAAATCAACATCAAAATTGAGAAAAAGAAGAATAAAATGTGTAACATATATTTCCACGTGAGAGTCATACAATAACGGGTTGGGACACTTTCGAAAAGTAAGGCACATGAGTTTAACAAAAATACATACAAATAATCCCTTAAACAAAAAATTAGGGATGTGGTGCCTCAAAAGTAAGTCATCCAACTAGACAAAATTTGATGACCTAACAAATGTCCCCCTTTCTATCCCTACACATCCAGTACTATCAAGTCAGACCTAACCTAACCCTCAGCAGGGCTACTAGGAGCAACGTCCTCCTCCGGGTCCTCCTCGCCACTCGCCTGAGCATTACCCTGAAGAATACTCGTGGCCTCATCCATCATCATAGTGGCGTCAGCCCTAATACCAGCACTCCTATCACGTATCCCCTCAGCTAATCGAGTCACTCGAGACCTCTATCGCTCAATCTCCACACGAGCAGCCTCCAACCTAGCATGCCCAGCTGCTAGCCTCATCTCTAAGTCGGCTATACGGTCGAACTGGGTGTCAACCATGATGCTCACCTCCTCAGCATCCTGGGTCAAGGTATGATTAGCGTCCCACAGCTGGCGGCGCTCATCGTCCAAAGATAGCACTAACTCATTAGGGTAAGCGTATATAGCCCTACACTGGCATCGTGGATACCTATCAGCTGGAGTATACCGCACACGAGCTCCTCCGCCTCGTGGCCTATATGAGATGGATCTAAGCTGCTCTACGTGTCCATTAGTCGCTCCATTACCATTAGCATGTCCATTTTCATTTTCCATACCTTCCAAAGAATCAAAACCCAAAGGTTAAAACTTAAATGACTAACTGGTTCATATATCACTTAAGACATATCTAATGGCCTAATTTCTTACTTCTAGAAAGGGTTAGGGTTTCTAACATATCTAATATGTCTTTCAAATAACTTTTCTAACCTAGGCTCTGATACCACCTGTGGCGACCCCACTTCCCTCTAAGGCGAACCAGAGGGTTGGCAGGCCGTCTGTGAGAACCCTGAAAAAATAGACATATAAATATCAGTGCATATTTTATTTGCATTTTAATTCTTTAATAAATTTTAGCACGAAGTCCAATTGTTTCTAAATAAGTATGTAGAATTAAACGTTATGTACAAAATAAAAGAATTGTGCTAAACTACTAAACTTCGTGGTTTTGTTACATTAACTTCATATTTCGATGGTAAACTATTTCATTGATCTAATCATTAATTTCTTCGAATTCTAGAATGGTAATTAATTGTTTTGAAATAAAAGTGTAGAGATAATTTTTAAGTAATAAATAATATAATTGTGCCAATATTGAATTATTCGGTTTTGCTATATTAAATTAATATTTCTTGAGTTAGATTAATTTATCACCTTAAAATACTAAAATACTTAGTTTTCTTAATGTTGAAAATTAATGTTACCTGAGTAGATTAATTATATAAAATTTCTTGAATTTCAATAATTAATTCCAATTAGTTGCTAACGTTAAATGTTAATAAGAATTTCTGCGTTAAGATGAAAACCAATGAGTTTTAGATAAACAATACAAGTATTCTAAAACATAATTAAGGTGTGAAAAATTCGATAATTAAAGCCTTGCAAGATTAGCATATTACTAGGCGATCAAATTATACTTGGGGATAAATTTTGGAATTAAGTTAGAATTGAGATTTTAAGTTGAGGTTAGGGAGCAAAGTGAAAGGACCAAAATGCCCTTCACAATCCACAAAATCCCCACTACACCACAACCATCACCATGCACGGCCAAACACCCCTTCTGACAACATTTCCATCACCGCCCAAATTGTCCAATCCCATTCTCTCCAATTCCATATGTAAACCATCTCTACACTCAACCAATTCTAACCACAAACACCTCTCAATACCACGGCACCCTCTTCATTTCCCTTCCACTTCACATCTCAAACCACAACTGCATTTCACTCTGCCTTGCTAGTGTCGACAAACCGAGAGAGCGAGAGAGAGGCCGAGCTGCACTCTGCAGCCGAGTGGAAGAAAAGAAACCACAGGATTGAATGTTTTTGGTTCTGGCCGTGAGTTGGAGTGAAACCAGGGAGAGCAAGTGGAAGTCGGAGGAGCTGCTGATCATCACCATTTTCGTTCACTTCAGACCAACATTTCCCAGCTGCAACCATCTTCACCACAACACCATTTCCAGCTGCAAATCGAACCAGGACCAACCAGTGTGCGTGAGAGCCGAGAGGGAGCAGAAATTTTCCAGATTTTCTTGCGTGAGCTTAGCTTGCTGTGAGGTAATTTCTGGATTCATTTTATGACTAATCAGAGATAGTTTGAGCTATCTAGGGGCATGCATGTACTATGGTACAGCCGGATGAATGAGATTAAGCCATTAGAAAATTTCTGTTTTGGATGTTGATGTTTCTGCCGAGAAGTTGAGCCGATAATGCAGTTTTATTTTCAATTTTCTGGGACAATCTGAGCATCTAAGTGTACTTAGCCGAATGAAAACTTGAAGATTAAAACCATGCATGAAGTTAATTAGCCGGATTATGCTAGAAGATAAAAATGAAACAGGAATCTGTTGCACGCAATGTAACATCCCGAATATTAGGAGGTTGGTTATGAAGAAAATATTATAGTGTATTTCTTTGGGGTTTGATTTAAAACCTTATTTTATTTTAAAAGACTAGAAACCCTAATTTTAATTACTGGAATTGGAAAATTCCTCACGTTTTCTTAAAAATTTCCTTTTATTTGGAAATTATTATTTATTAAAGCTCTACTATCCAATTATTCCATAATAAGTGTAAATGAATCTAGAAAGTAGGGTTTTATTCTTCGTTTTCAAGATTTGAGCAAATTAGGGTTTTCGCGATTTTTCGCTGGATGAATTTTCGGTACAGAGTAAGGATTAATTTTGGGGATTAAAAGTGACTTTTAAGTGAGAAATAATATGTGATTAGTAGCAATGATATAAGGTTAGTGAATGGGAAGTAAAAACCCTAATACGTGTGTTTTTAAGAAAAACGGCGCGAACCGGCGGGTCCCGCGCACTACCGATTGAACGCACCACTTGACCACCACTTTCTTGCCATACAAGTTTATCATTAATGGAGCAAAATATCTTCCCCCTCTTAGCTCTCCTATTGGCCGAAATTTAGTGGTTAAAATGCAAGGAAAGAAAGAGAAAATTTTGTGGTTGTAATTCAACCAAGTGTTAGACAAACTTGTGGCTAGAATTACTTCTTATCTTTCCAACCTTCTTATAAGACAAACTTAGCTTAATCTCCTTCATTATTTCTGCACCTTGGCTGAGTAAGGAGAGAGAGAAAAGAAGAGCAAGAGCAACAAATTTCCTTCTTGATTTGCTTCAACCCAAGTAACAAATCCAATTCTAAACCGATTAAAGTACTAAGTGTGGGTTGGGAAGCTTGAGGAACCAAGAAATACCAAAGGGGGTGAAGGATCACTCTACCAAGCCTTGCTTTTGAGGTACCAACATCTGAACATGATCTTGGTTGCTTTGAATTTTGTTTTAAGATGTGTTTTTAGCTTAAGTTTTGGCTTGATTTCATGATTATGCAAGTGGGTGTGGTGAATTTGGAAGTTTTCCCCTTTTATATGATGAACTAGGGCTTGAGGAATTTCTGCCCAATTTGTTGTATGATGCTTGTATGTTGCAATTAAGGTTGTATAAGGTGTTTTGGTAGTGATTAGAACAAGAAAATTGAGAAAGTTCCATTGATTACAAAAAAATTCCAGAATCTGGAAATTTTTCCCAACATTCTGTCCGAATTTTTATCTGTATGTTAGAGGCTGTTTTGGCCTTAGGTCAAAGAATAAAAGTTGTAGAGAATGGAATTTTATAGGTGCCTACAAAATTTCAGCTCAATCGGAGTAACGTAGGATGTGAAAAGTCCAAAATACCCTTACTGTTCTAAGTATTTCCCAGCAGTCCGTTTCATCAGTTAAGTCCAGTTTATCACGTTTTTTGACTAGGAGCCGTACTGATTTAGCTCTGGGCCAAAACATGAAAGTTGTAGTGTTCTGAAGTAGCTTTAAAATGCCTCTAAGAACACCTGAATTGGACTTTTGTACACTGAGTTATGTCTGTTACAGCGTAATGCGTTTAAACAGCCGATGAATTGGTTTCTGGTTTAGTAATTTGAGAATTTGACCAAGTTACATTAGAAACTGGACAAAATGACCTTCATGAACATTGTAGCTCTGTGTCTTAGCTTCGAAACGGCATAAGTTACGCCTCAATCCGATAAGCGTAGCCTCGGATATGTTATTTCCGCATTTGTACGTCA